GGCCTAACGAAGAAACAATCAGTTCTGTTCCTGAGTTACTGGCTTTTTACACTAAAATGTTCACATATTCGCTGTGAATAGGCCTTGTTTCTGCTCCTTCGTTCGCTCAAGCTCGAACTCCATGATCTACAGATAACTTGCTATAAACAAAGATTTATGCCGACGGTGCTTTGTACAACAAGGTGTTGATAGTTCTCTAAAGATTGGGTACTTATTAAGCAAGGAAAAATGTATACGAAAGCGAAAAAATATATCCCACCAACCCTCTCCAACTGCTCCGCCTCATTCCGAGAAGAAGGGTTCGTCTCCTGTTAGGAAACTCTGAGCCAGGGATACGAAAGATACATTAAATACTGATGTGTTCCCATTGTATCTGACTGCCCTTTCCGCTTTAGTGCCTGGTACCTAGTGACTTTAGTCCAACGCTGGTTCGCGCTGTCTGGCTTTGATACAAGGCTGCATATTGAGAGGGGCGTTTTCTGTCTGGTTAGTAGATTCCTGGTGGTTACTTTTAGGAATCTGACCTTCCTGAAAGTTCCACAAGTAAGTAGAGACGCAGATCTGCAAGGGGACCATGCAGTTGAGTATACTACTTAGAAGGTCGCTGAAAAACACTTGACAGCTTACGACCGAACCCGTAATTCTTGGGGGGCAGCAGGTTGGAACATCCCTCGAGGTTTAAGCCAAGAATAAATACTTCCCTTTGAGATATTTCTCACAGAAGGGAATGACCTAGGTCGGATTTGCAAAAGTCATCAGTGACAGTAAAACCAGATGAGAACATTGGTGCTTCATCGATGTACAACACGTCAGTCCTGCATCCTTAGAATGCAGGAACAAAGAAGTGGGGTAACAAACGAAAATCAGCGTTAGCCCAGGTTGCCTACACTTCGAATACTCAATCAGGCAATCGGGATATAGCTGAAAGCATGAACGCTACTGACATCGGTTAACCACCGTACTGTCCAGGGACACTGAACAGTGTCCACAGCCACTGTCACGTGGATCCCCTCGGGGAGAACAAAGTCTCAACCATGAGTTGTGATCTTTTTCAATAGAAACCACTATGCCACTTTCTACTGAAGAATGCCATCCCGGTGGGCTTCTCTGCAAACACATGCCGACGTGCATGGCTAAACAGAATCAGACTATGCTTTTCAAAGGACACAACTCATGAGGTCGTTGGAAACCGTTCGGCAGTTCAAGATCCTTCTTCAAGCCCGGAAGTTGTGTGAGCGACAAACCGCCCAAGATAACACCTTCCACGATATGGGATTCCCAACAGTTTATTTATGGGCAATCAGAGAGAGGTTTAGAACTCTCTGGCATCATACGGCCACTCTCTGCTCACAGCCAGCCCGACAGCCAAAAGTCCAAACCACCAAGGGGGACTCACACTTTATGCCGTAGGGTCGACCAGGATCGCTTGGTGCTAACTGACTGTTAGAGGACTCACGCGTTCTTGTGTACGCCTCTCGGTTTGGTGGTTTCAAATTCGCTCAGTTTAGTGAAATCTACAATGCGGTCCTACGAACTCATGATTGCATCAACTAGCTTGCACATGAAAGTACTTCTATTAATTATACAAAATGTACATAAAAAAAAAGTAATAGACAACAAATAAGCTCACGAGGTAAATCAAGTTTCCCAACGTGGTCGGTGGATAAACTTTGTGGATCAGCACATCTTCTTACCGTCAAGCATGTTCCGAATGCAAAGTGCAGGCCAACTGACAACTTTGAAAAGCGCATCAGCTGCTTTTTGCGCGGAGGGTGCACATTCGGCAACCATTGTGAGGATAATGTAAATCCAGGCAACTATCATGGCCAATGGAAATGCTCCGAAAAGCATTACCAGGAACCAAAGAATTCCCCACCCAACTTGTGCGCCAGTCTTCGCCATCTGAACAAGTCCGCCGGTAGCCAAACTGATCGCAGCATTCTGCTTTACTTATAAAGGCTTTGCCGAGTTCATCCGCGTCAGTATTTGTCTGCGACACAGGGACGCACACTTTTCCCTAGATAATGAGCTACAAATCTTGTATGCGACAACACATGTGCAGGCAAATGAGAGCCAACACAGAAATTCTCGTCATACGTTAACCACTCAGCAGCAAGAATAACTGTGATGAAATCAGCCAATCAGATGATAGGGTTCAAGGTCGCCGCACACTTAAGTTGCTGGAACGGCAATGATACTGTGCCACACAGGGTTATGTCAATGGAGGAAATAGGCGGCGAATGAGGGCTACCAGGGTAGGGCTAAGAACACTTCCATTTCCACACAGATTCCCTTTCCA